TGATTACACATCTAAGGTGTGTCTTATGGCTCTTCAAATTCGCAGTTTAGAACTAAATCAGAGACTATAGTTACCTGATGCAGTTCTGCTCTCTTGTTCAATGTTTGTCATAAGTGTTTGTTCGTGTCTGTTCTATGTAAGTGACCACTACAGTGCATGTACACAGTTACGCTGTCGGTACAGGTATTATTTCTTTTTTTCTACAGTCAGGACTTTCTCTTCAGCGCAATAATTTACCAAAGAAATTCACCTAGTTGCGTAAATAATTTGGTGTATAGATATCAAGTCAATATCTCCTTGCGGTGATGCAAAGTTTCTAAGATCTGTCGTAAGTGGGTTTTGCATTTAGATGGTCACTCTTGTCTGATAAAATTACTGATATAACAGCTTCAAATTTATACTTTGATCTCTGATTCATCACTAAATGACATTCGTGCGGAGTCATTTATCATTAATCAGTTCAAAGCCATTTCGACAATGAATCATCAAAAGTCCGATCGAAGAAGGAATTTTCTGGTGAGTGCTGTGGCTAAACCGACATCACAACTCTACTTTCGAAAGCATCAACCAAGACACGACCATTCGTCAGGAAGTGGAAATATCTTGCAACACATCAGCAGGCCAATTATTGAAGGTTTAGAGCAACCCAACAAGGCATCAAATTCCAATATATTGCATGGATAAGATAGGGCTATGTCTTTTCATGTCGGGCTGACATAGTTTCAATGATTGGGCCACTGGTATTTTAGCTGGTAAGATATGTAAAGTCACTTAGGTATCACAAGTTACATACACATCTGTTGTGAAACAGTTTTTGTAAGTATGCTTACCTTTGTGGAGATTAATTGATAACAAAACGAGCATATCAATGTCATAGCCTAACTAGAAAACCACTCATGTAGATTTAGAAAGTTTCAGACTTTCTGTTTCTCTTCGATTATAAAATCATGCAACGAAATGTTACAAATGTCATTCCCAGATAACCTTAACCATGTTCCTGACTTTTTCTTATGGGAGGCTGTAATTCCATGTCTTTTCAAAATCCTTCCATCCGTCTGTACCTGAGAAATTCAGTGAACCAGCCAACTTTCGGACTTTTAACAAGAATTGTCCCCAACTTTACCATTGAAATGATTCTTAGGTGCTTTTGAACAAAGGGACTTTAAGACAAATTTTGTTACACAGGTTCGACTCACCCTGAATTCTTAAAAAGGGAAAAAAAATATTTTCTTCACTCTAGAAAGACATGAAACTGACCAAGTTGTAGGTAAGTAAGTAGTTTTGATCACTTCATTCCATGAAATATGATGAGCCTTGTTGCTGCAGAAAACACAACATACTAGCAGGAATCCTCAAATAAATTTTCTGCCTTGTACAATATCTGTTGATACTTAGTATTTGATGATATCTATGAAGTAAAAAAATTCTGAAAAAACACTGGGAATGCTAGCAGAGTCATTTCAAAATTTTCTTTCAGGAACAAAACTAAAAATTGTGGAAGTTTCCTAAGATTGCTCTTCAGACAAATTTACGTATTATACATAGATGAAGTGTAGCCTGCTAAATATCATGTCGTATTCCTCTTCTAACATACATGCAGGTGAGTAGATTTTGAAATTTTGAGCACACAATTTGCTTATGAAAGAAGCGAGCACTAACATAATTTCCACTTACCATTACCACTTCCTGACCAATTTTCATAAGTTGATGCTATTGAAAATTGAGTTGTAATGTCGGTTTAGCCGCAGCACTCACCAGAAAATTCCTTCTTCGATCGGACCTTTGATGATTCATTGTCGAAATGGCTTTGAACTGATTAATGATAAATGACTCCACACGAGTGTCATTTAATGATGAATCAGAGATCAAAGTATAAATTTGAAGCTGTTACATCAGTAATTTTATCAGACAAGAGTGACCATCTAAATGCAAAACCCACTTACGACAGATCTTAGAAACTTTGCATCACCGCAAGGAGATATTAACTTGATATCTATACACCAAATTATTTACGCAACTAGGTGAATTTCTTTGGTAAATTATTGCGCTGAAGAGAAAGTCCTGACTGTAGAAAAAAAGAAATAATACCTGTACCGACAGCGTAACTATGTACATGCACTGTAGTGGTCACTTACATAGAACAGACACGAACAAACACTTATGACAAACATTGAACAAGAGAGCAGAACTGCATTAGGTAACTATAGTCTCTGATTTAGTTCTGAACTGCGAATTTGAAGAGCCATCTAAGGCTGTGCGAATATTCGAAAATCTCGAATATTCGAGTTCGAATAATTTTTCCGATATTCGATTCGAACTCGAACTTAGAAATCTCGAATAATCGAATTATTCGAGAACATTGACAAAACTTCGAATATCTAAAGAAAAAGACCGAATACTCGTACATTCGGGCATATTGATGACGTACTAGAAAGAACTCGAACAGGGGCGCAGTTCAAACTACTTGTTTTGAGGTTAGGTAAACAAAGGCCAACGTTTCAGTGGTTCATTCAGCGCTCGGCACTCGCGGACTCGCATTATTAGACGGTTCAATTCAAAATTCGCGCCACTTGAGACGCGTTGTTAAAGTTAAAAATTGAAGTCAGCGAAATGACGTCAGTCCGCCATTTGTAGTTATCCACTCAGCGATGATGCAAACTTGTTAGTAAGCAAAGGCCGCCATCTTCTCAGCAAAACTGGTAAGCGCCCTAGGAACCAGGCTGAGCGCTGAGCGATTTTGCTGAAAAGATGGCAGCCTTTGATTACCTCAGCGGATAACTCAGAAAACGTTTAACAACACTTCGGCTGAGCTCAGCCACTCAGCAGATAACTCGGCGGTTGCACTTCTGACTTTAACAACGCGTCTTTGAGTTCCACCGAATACGTCATCAACATGGCGTACAAATGGGCGAATGTACTGATCGCCATAACCTATCCTCCTCCGCCTCGTGCGGCACCCTGGTCTTTACAATGTTGCTGGACTATCTTTGCAAGATCAGCATTGATGTGCAAAACAGAATGAAGTGGATTTTCGGACAGTAAGCAGCAGTTTTACTGTTCCGCCACAGTTCAATCAATTGCTTGTTCTTAATTAAAGGAAACAATTTTCTTTCCCTTCTATTCTTTCCCCCAACGAATCAAAATGTATGCAAAACCATTTGATGATTAAATAAATTGATTAATTCTTGATCTTTTTATCTAAATTAGTAATTTCTTTATTCAAAATTTGAATTTTAGAAAGAAAAAAAATTATTTATTCAATTTTTACTTCGACTAACACAGAGGTTGGTTTTGGTCAAAAATAGATTAAAATTAAAAATATTCGATTCAATTCAATTTGATTCGATTCGAATTCGAAACTTTTTCAAAATGTTTGATTTGATTCGATTCAACATAAAAAAAAGCCACATTCGCACAGCCCTACCATAAGACACACCTCAGATGTGTAATCACTTGGTTTGGGCCAAAGAAACCTCGAACTACATGAGATCATATCGGTGAAGTTTGAGAGGTTCGAGAGGTCAGAAGGCTATAATACTAAATAAATGGTGAACTTCTAACTCTTGAATGAATTCAGGACCACATACTTAAGACAAAGAAACTGCAAAACATTTGTTTTGAGGCGAAAATGAAAAGGGAATGGTCAAAAGAAAGTAAAAGAAGAAAGTCTGGGTTTGGACATTGGACTTGTAAAACTGATTTTCAGAATGCACCTTAAAATGAGCCGATAGGCCGTGGCTCCAGGTTGTAAAATACGATGAATATTATTGCCAAATGCTTGGTTGAAGTAGAAAACAGATTTAAATTAATTAATATTAAGAGATTTCGAGTTGTTCAGATCCTTCGTGTTATCAATCTTCGTTTGTTTACGACCCACACGCGGCAGAGGCATGCAGAGGTACCTCGCCAGCACGCTAGGTCAAACGTGTGGCCATCGCCGGACGGATAGAATGGGCGCCATATTGAGATGGCCCAAGCGGCGCGCGTTTGAATGGGAGCTCAAAATACGGACTTTTGGACTCGTATTTCGTGAGTTAATATTGCTCAAAAAAATCGGGGAAAATTTCTGTGAACTATGTGCACTCTCTAGTTTCCAAAAATGAAAAAATTACGAATTACTGAACAAGCTCATTATGGCATATTATATTTGTTGAGTCGGCTAATAGCTCAGCCTTTTTTTCGCATTATGAGTAGCCGAAAACCTAAAAAACTTGAAAGTACATGAATAATTTAATTAAAATTATTTGCATAGCAAGATGCAGAGTCAATGCAGACCCCCAAATTTGAAAACACAGTGGTCTTAGAGTAATAGGAGAAGAAGAAATTTCCCATTTTTAACACTAATTCATCTAAAAGTCTACCAGTTTTTCGGGAAATCTTTCATGCCTTGATGAATTCCACTGTTTTTGTGGGTTTCTTGTCCAAGACGCAAGGGATACAGGTGATAAATAATATTTTTTACCAATTTTCATTAAATAAATTCTACATCATCAGAAGTTATCAGGCATGAAAAATTCAGTGAGCTTCCGCCAAAAAAAAAGAGGAAAAAAGGAATCAGTATGAGATATTAGAGGTGTCGACAGAAAAATTGGCCATTGATTACTTTCAGTTTGCAGGCGTTTTCGTGTCACTGCTATCTACATGAAAGCATCTGACTCTCACAGAAGCGAGAACATAAGCTTGGAAAGGTTTTATAATGCCTTCAAACCTTGTAACAATTCAATTTTTAGCCACACAGAAATCACAGCCACATAAAGGTCGCGGGTCATAATTGATGAGTGGTTTATTAACAATAGAATCATGAGATGGATGTTTTCAAAATGGATAGTAGCAAATGACAGTCTGTGCAGAGGCTTAAATTCGTCATCTGCGCATGCAAACCGAAAGTAAACAATGGCTAACTTATCTGACAACACCTCTATCAAACGTGAAAGATGCAGCCCTAAATCAAGCGCATTCTCAGTCATTACTTTTATAGAACAAGGAATATAATGATTTACCGTTCAGGATGAATCCTAAATGATTCCCGGATTTTTTGCACAGTTCTACTTGATCTTTCAAAAACTCAGGTTCATCTTCATCTGGACTGACTACATGCACAGCGCAGTATTGGATCTCATTTCGCACTTCCTTCAATGGAGCAGAAATGGCTGTGAAGAGAAAGCAAAACATACATTTAAGTATTAAAGGCTTGATGAAACTCTATTTTTTCAATTAGTCTTGTAAATGATGCATTTCAACAGAAATAAATTAACGTAGAGCAGGAGTTCGGCTCAATCAATTCTACATATAAAAAAGCGTTTTCGGCACATTGTGAAGCAGGGTGTACTTGTAGCGCCACTTTATTGATAGATCCCGCCAGATTAGAAACTTTCTTTAAAACCAACTCTTACAGCAATTTGGTCTGTTCTTAACAAATTTTTGGTCAAAAAAGCCCGTAGAAGAGCGGGAGTACCAGTTTTCTTATCTATAAGAAGAGCAAATCCCTTCATATACAGGGGGTCTTGCAGCTTTCAGAAATTGAGGAGAACATGTAAGTATCCAAGAAACAGTAGAGCTCTTGCGTGGGTAAGGAATTTGCAGTTACAGTACATTATCTGGCATAAAACTTTGCAAGAAACAGGATGGAGCCACTGTTTTCTCTGAAAAGAACTTCAAAGCTCAAAAAACGCTCGCAAAAGGCAGGTCGTAATGGAGGGGATTCTCCTTGCAACGCTGAGAGTCCATATCTATATCCAGTGAAACTCTCCATGCACATATAGGAAGAAAATACATTACCAGGGTTGCCACTCTGTATGGGGACTCCTAAGCTGGAACTAAAATACCCATAGAGGGCGATTACAGGCATGTTAAAATATGGAGCTCTTAAGTCCTAAAAGAGCGGCCAAACTTCTAACATAAAAAATGTCACTGCCAATCTTCAGATTCCAATATCAAACCAAGATGGCTAAAAATGTTTAGAAGAGAGCTTCCTTCCACAAAATGAGTTAATTTACGCAAAAACTAAGTCAGAGTCAGTTTTACAAACGACGAGTTGTAGCAATTGTAATAACTAGGAGGCTACGCCCCCTGGCTGCTATGCACCCAACCCCCTGAAGACGCTCTGCGCCATCAAGGGGCCGCTTTGTGACCTCTTTTTTTAGCTTCTTGTGAATATTGATTCTTTTTCCCTAAAAAAATTAGGGCTGTGCAAATATTCGAAAATCTCGAATATTCGAGTTCGAATAATTTTTCCGATTTTCGATTCGAACTCGAACTTAGAAATCTCGAATAATCGAATTATTCGAGAACATTGACAAGACTTCGAATATCTAAAGAAAAAGACCGAGGACTCGTACATTCGGCCATATTGATGACGTGCTAGAAAGAACTGGAACAGGCGCGCAGTTCAGACTACTTGTTTTGAGGTTAGGTAAACAAAGGCCAACGTTTCAGTGGTTCATTCAGCGCACGGCACTCGCGGACTCGCATTATTAGACGGGTCGATTCAAAATTCGCGCCACTTGAGTTCCACCGAATACGTCATCAACATGGCGTACAAATGGGCGACTTTACTGATCTCCATAACCTATCCTCCTCCGCCTCGTGCGGCATCCTAGTCTTTACAATGTTGCTGGACTATCTTTGCAAGATCAGCATTGATGTGCAGTAAAACAGAATTAAGTGGATTTTCGGACAGTAAGCAGCAGTTTTACTGTTCCGCCACAGTTCAATCAATTGCTTGTTCTTAATTAAAGGAAACAATTTTCTTTCCCTTCTATTCTTTCCCCAACAAATCAAAATGTAGGAAAAACCATATGATGATTAAATAAATTGATTACTTCTTGATCTTTTTATCTAAATTAGTAATTTCTTTATTCAAAATTTGAATTTTAGAAAGAAAAAAAATTATTTATTCAATTTTTACTTCGACTAACACAAAGGTTGGTTTTGGTCAAAAATAGATAAAAATTAAAAATATTCAATTCGATTCGAATTTGAATTTTTTTCAAAATATTCGATTCGATTCGACATAAAAAAAGCCACATGCTCACAGCCCTAAAAAAATACAATATACAACATAAATATTACGTTTTAGAAGAAATGATTTTGTTTGTGTTGAATAATGAAAACAAATCTGATAGCATAAGGATGCATATAGCTATGATTGATTAATGAACAATGGCACTACAACAACGGCAGACGATTAACAGGTCTTGATTGATTATTTCAGGCGTTGAGAACCGAACCTACACCTCAGGCCATAGTGGAGTAACACTTGACACCCCAGTCGACTCAGCTATCGCCGAAGCTGATAGGTAGACGGTGAATCTTGTGTTCATAGAGTAGAGCTACAGCTAATGCAAAGGCTACGCGGCCACTGTACAACTTTCTGTGCAGGCTAATGGGCCACTGTGCAACTTTTTGTGCAAGCTACTGGGCCACTGCGCAACCTTCTGTGCATAGCAGCAGCAGTTTAGGAGAATTCTGCAAATTCGCTCAATTTTATAGCGTCATTGTAAAGAAACCTGGGTCTTATCCCCAAAATCCGATTAGAGCAGGCTCATCTACAGCCTGTCTATTGCCGCAAAATTCATTGAAATCGGCCTAGTAGAAAACTCAAATGAACTGTGACAAAATATAAAAATTTACATTGTTTAAATGGGATAGTTCCCAACTTTGCCATGTAGCATACAAAAACCTGGGTCATATCTTCAAAATCTGCATAGAGTGGGCTCATTTGGAGACAGTTGCCTGTCGATTGCCGCAAAAATCTTGAAAATCGGGCCGGTAGAATGCTGGAACTAACAAGGGGAGGCTACCGATTGTACCCCTCAGTTCGGGTTCAAATTTGGCAGAGAGGTAGAGTAGATTAATATAAGAAACCATATTTTTTTTAGGTGCCAATGCCCAGCGGTTTTTGAGTTATAAATTTTTGAAGTTGCCGTTTTTTCGTGTCAGCGACGCGCTCAAGTTGAGCCTACTGTGCGCGCACCTTTTAATGCGATCCGAGTATCCCGACATTCATATGTGGTCGTTCGCCAAGCGGTAGCGCGCTCGCCTACGGTGCCGCGGGTTCGGGGTCCGATACGTGTTATGAAAATTTAATTTTTACAATTGATTATTTTGTTTTTTAATCGCTTCATCACAACAAATTGTTAGTCACCTTGTAAATGTTATGATGCTAATTATATTTTCTTCCGTTTTTGTCAAACAATCATGAAAAAAAATAAAAAAAAAAAAATAATTAGAATCAAAACGTTTACAAGGTGACTTACAATTTGTTGTGATGAAGCGATTTGAAAACAAAATAATCAATTATAAAAATTAAGATTTCGGTACAAGAATCGAACCCCTAACCCGCGGCAACGTAGGCGAGCGCGCTACCGCTTAGCCAACGGTCACACATGTATGCTGGGATACTCGGATCGCATTGAAAGGTGCGCGCACGGTAGGCTCAACTTGAGCGCGTCGCTGACACGAAATAACGGCAACTTCAAAAATTCATAACTCAAAAACGGCTGGGCATTGGCACCTAAAAAAAATGCGGTTTCTTATATTAACCTATTCTACCTCTCTGCCAAATTTGAACCTGATCTGAGGGGGACAATCGGTAGCCTCCCCTTATAGGCGTTACTGGAAATGAAAAGTTAGGAGGTCTGAGAGCTTATAGTATAGATAAATCATTTTTTTTTTGATGACCATGAGAGAAAGTGGCGAATCTTATCAAAGATAGAATCTTAACAAAGATATGACAATTTAAGCGCCTTGTTCCTCCGGCTGTGGTAACCCAAGGTCAGGGATTTTGATTTCCATCCGTTTCGCACTACCACTCCACATGGGGTGGGTTTTGGCCAGATGGTCATCTAGACGCTCAAACTATCATATGTTGGTTTAGGCTCTAATTTGGAATATGCTCTGATCAAGAGTAGGCAAGGCAAAGGAAGATTGGGGACCGAGGTCGAGTCGACCAACTAAACCAAACTCATGTAAGCGTACCTGCATGGACAATGCCAGAATCATCCCTATGGGATATGTCTTCGGCTGCATCACTTGGTGATGGATTGGATGGGATGCTTGAATTTCTGTTGTTATCTGTATTTTGAGCATAATTTTCATTTTGTTTTGATATTTTATTTTGGAGAATCTCTTTTATATAAGCATAGCTTAAATTCCAGTTTCCTAATGATTCAAGCATGTAATGGACACAATTTTCTGGACTCAGTTTTCCGTTGAGTTTTTGTTCTTGATTGTATTTAAGGGTAGAAATGTGCTTGCAGCCGAGGAACGTTTGTTCCGGCGTGTCCTCTGCAGACAAGCATAAGGGACAAAGGGAGGAAAAAGTTACTTTAAAGCGAAAAAGATAGTGATTAAAACGGCCATGGCCGGAGAAAAATTGAGTCAAAAAGGAGTCTGTCACCCCGTTTGATCTTTCAATCCAAGGTTTCAGTGACGGAAGTAACCTGTGGAGCCATCTGTCTTCGGTGTCCAATGCATTTTCCCATCTTTCATTCCATCTTCTGTTAATATCCGTCTCAATCTCGATTTTAGGTTCTGTCTTTAATCTGATCCTTAGATTTTTCTCTATCAGAAGATCCGAGGGTGGTAAGTCGGTCAACACATCTAAAACTTTGTTGCTTACTGTTTTATGAACTGTGCATAAATCCTTCTTCATGGGTCTTCAGGTGGATGTAACAAGTTTGATATTATATTTTAATTTACAGGCGTCCGACCAGATTTCAATTCCGTACTAGAGTCCCTTTATACCCAGAGTTAAGACAACTCACTTTTGGTTGGGCTGAAAGTGGCCTAAAAAAAAATCCAATTCTGATTGGTTCTCGCTCATGGAGGCCGAAACGAGTGCACCAAGATGGCGGTACCTTGAATGTGAACAAGAATAATGAAAATATTACCTAATTGTGGTTTATCAAGAGTAAATTGTTCTTTTCATTGGTCCAAAATGAAAATAGATTAAGAAATTATTCACAAACCAATCTCATTTTCTTTTTAATTGATCAATTTGTTGATGTTGTTGTTTTTGTGTGACAGACATCGCAGGATTCCTGATCCTTATCCCTCAATATCGTTCGTTTGGGTGCACTCATTTCGGCCTCCATGGCCAGCCAAGGCCGGCTGCCAGTCAGCTGATAATCGAGTTGTCTCAACTCTGGGTATAAAGGGACTCTATCCCGTACCAGATAATAGCCATGATCGCGTGTATGATGAGTTTCCTCTTGAGGAAAGAAAGATCATCGATGTTTGGCATAATTCCTTGGAAGTGCCCTGTGACTTTTTTGGCTTTTTCACAGACGATCCTAAGATGATGGGACATGCTCAGACCCTTGTTCAGAAAGATACTAAGGTATCTGAGTGATGTCCCAACCTCCATGATCTGTCCGTCGACTGATTTGACTGCTTCACTTCTGTCTATCTTCTTTCCTTCCAAAATCAAGGATTCGGTTTTAGAGTTTTCCATGGTAAGATTTATTTTCTTCAATTGCTTGTTGATTTGTGCCGTTATTCTTTCGCTGTCTCTGAGAAGTGTAGTTTTGTCATAGGTTATTAAGATCTTCAGTATGTCGTCTGCGTATGCGATGTTTGTTACGTCTGGATCTGCTTTAGCTTTAATTATTGGTTCATACACTAAATTGAAAAGGAGAGGACCAATAATACTTCCTTGGAAGCAATGAATCACTTTGAATAGGAAGAATTCATAGGTTGGCTGCCCTTAGGGACCCTAAAAGCTCAACGACCTAACCTCAAACTTACCGACATGTCCATACTCACCATATGTGGGTACTCTTGCTGAAACTATGGCAACCCTCCTGATGAATTCGCCGCCCCCCCCCCCCCCCCNATGGACTCTCGGCATAACAAGGAGGGTCCCCTCTATTACGGTCTTAACTTAAGCTTAGGAGTTTGTTTCAGAGAAAACTAGTGGCACCGTTGTGTTTTCCGCGATGTTTGACAAAAGAAGGTTTACTTAAATTGGGAATCCCCAACACATGCTAGAGCTTCAGAATTTTCAACGATAATAAAATAATTACTGTGGATGTAAAAATTAAAAAATAATGGTGATGAATGTCTAAATGTGATGTGATATTAGACTTGATTAAAATATCATTGCCTTGAGAGACCTATTCCTCCTTTCTCTCATCACTTAAAAATTACGTAGGTTGTCCAAAAAGTAGTGAAACGAATTCTTTAACTTTAAATGTAACCTAGGTAAAGGATTTTTCTTGGTTTGTATGGAACAAAGGCTTATCAGCTTTCTGATGAGACCAAGCTTCACTCATTTGATAAAAATTAAAAATGTTATGGAGGTTTGAAAGGCCAGAGTCGCATTGCCGCCTACAACTTAGAACAAAGATTTTCGCTCACCCAAATTGGTCTCTAAAAGTAGGTGCAATCTGATGCAATTTACGCCCAAAACAACTTGACAACCCTCAGTGCTACTTGAAGAAATTTTACCAAAGTTGTCATCCAACTAGAGGACCCAAGAATCCACAGAGTGATTAACCCGGTCGTCGGATTGCACCCCAGATATGTGGCAGATTTATCCAAAGCTAGACGATCCCAATCAGTTTACCGCTTCCCACAAGAACTGATGCTTTTTGGTGGTGAGAGGAGCTGGGATCGGCATATTTTTGTCGGTTTTTTTGAAAACAGAATTCAGTTTCCTCCAAAAAGGTTGTAAAAACTGAATAAAATTTCGAAATGTGCGAGTTGAAAGTTGAATTTCTCATTTCTTCTGCATCACAGTTTTTCATATTTGGCTCTGTCAACTGAACTGCTTCATACTCAACCCACCATAGAATATGTCTTGAAACTTCAAAAGGAGAGAGTGAACAAAGTCTAACCTTTCAAGATATCATTTCTGCGCAGATCAATGATATATGTCTTTCCACTTAAGGTGCCAACAGCTAGAACTCCACTCATATCTTTTAAAAGGGGAGACAAAGGAGATATTTCACAAGGGTTGCATAGAATTAGACTGAGGGCAGTCACCTGAAGAGGGGAAAAAAAATATGATTAAAAGATGCCATTAAACTGTCGGATCACAAACAAGAAAAAAGGATGGTAAAAGTTTAGAAAAAAACCAATAATAGAAAAAAAATTTGAAGTTAAACGGCACTGACAAAATCAGTCTAATTGCATTTGCATAGACCGTTTTAGTGTTACATTACATTTCCAGATATATTGCGATTTTAGGCCTGATGCTCTAATCAGGATTCGGTTAATTTGATTTACATGAGACTTCCTATAAGGCATGGAACGTCGATTTTCAAACGGTAATTCTGGATAATTTAAGACTGTTTCTGCTGGGTGAATCGTCAATGTCGCTTCAGATAAATTAATTATATTCAATAAATCGAAACAAGTCCCGAGAATGAGATTATGTTACTCCTTTATTTACATCCTTCTCTGGGACTCGGCAGAATGCTCTTTTTCCATTTATCTAAAAAAAAAACCTTGCAATGGTGGATTTTATATACATTACCGAGTTTATAATCATTATTTTACTCTATACATCGTATTTATGCGACGGTATATGTGGGTAAACATTACGTCAGAATGAGTTAAATTGTAGTTGGACATCCCCCTCACCGCTATGGATACTTACCTTTACCTAGAAGTTAAAAAAAGATTCTGATGAGTGCTTTTCAACTTATTGTACCTTTACTGAGCTTACGCCAATAAGTTCCCGGCAATGTTGGTGTGCGAGAATGTTATCAATAAAGCACCTTCAGAATCTTATCAACATCAATTGGATCAAACGGAGACAACTTCTCCACAGTTTTATTGTATACTAACAGTTAATACTGGATCATAAAGACAGCTTTCCTCTGAAGGTATTAACTGAAAGTGATTTAAACAATATCGTACCTTTGTATTGAATTGTTTAGGAGGCAACATTATGGATAAGATGAAATAAAAAAGTGGGTGATGTATCGCTGGAATTACTGCAGCGCAATACTTTTGAAAGAGTCCAATACTCGACTAAATAGGTGCAGATATTTAGATACTGTCAAGATGGATAGAATTCATAAGAAAAACTAACATGAGAGACCTACAAAGTTTTTTTTTCAAAAATTATCGAGAAACAGAGTCCAAAATGAGAAGGTAAACAAAATGGTAACAAAGCCTCACTCTCGGAACTTGCCGCAATTAACTGACAATGGGTAAAATTAATTTATGAGATGCGATATTGATGATTCACCAGGCAGAAACGTACATTTGAGGATATGAAAAACTTTTAATTGCAAGAAAATCCGGCAGAAACAGTCTTAAACTATCCAAAATCACCATTGAAAAACTGACATTCAGTTCCTCATGAGAAATCTCAGGTAAATTGAACCGATTGAATCCCGGTTAAGGCACCAGGCCTAAAATCGCAACACACCTCGAAATGTAACGTCATCACTAAAACGGTCTATTGCTACCATGTTTCGCTACCTAAATCAAAAAACAAGAGACAATATTTTGAAACTTGCACTGAATTTCCTTCTGATTAAAAATAGAAGAATAGCCTACTACACCCACTTAGGAACACAGCTTCTCTCATGCAGCAGTATGGCATTCCTAAGGATTTGCTGAGACTCAAGAGAATTCTGTCTTCACTTCAGCCGTGGACCCTATCAACAAGTTGACAAATTTCAAGTTTTTGACCCATACATAGCCCCCCAAAAATATTAATACTCCTAAGAGGTACTTAAAGAGCATTAGAACACTATACACAGTTATACAAGAGTCAGCCATCACCCCTGTAACTTTTTTCCTAATTAACATAGGGATTTGAGACTTTAGAGATGCTTCTAGATCTAAAGTGGCAACTTTTTGGTACCCCTGAAATTCTGAAGGAGGTGGGTGCCAACTTTTTTTTTCAAATGGCAACCCCTCTTTGTGACACCTTATTTGGAAGACAAGAAAAAAAAAATGTTGGCACAAGCCGCAGGTCAAAAGTTGGATTTTTCACAAAATTCAAAGTTCAAAATGACGGAAATTTGGTATATCCGTTTTTATTGACGGGTTAGGATGGGATTTGGAATCCCAGGATTTCTTGGGGACAGAAAAACGATTCTAGCATTGGTTTTCCTGTAAATTCGGTCTTCTTCAAAATAGCGGCTTACAGCGGGAAGTGGATATTTAGGCTGCTTGTCGATGGATGTACAGGATACTTTGTGACCCTATATACTTTGACATGAGAAAAATTAATTTTTCATCAGATTTTTGAAAATCTTAATAACTTTAAAAAGGTGGAGGAAAATAGCAGGCAATCGGTATTACGAACATTTACTGATGGATTTGCATGTAACTCAGTTCTCAGGTGGTTTTTGGCTTGAAAGAAATTTCTTAATGATTAGATTCCTAAAATGCTATATGTAAATACTCTTTGAAAGGCGGCCGACTCTTATGCGGAAAATCGGCATAACGGACGTGTATTGATGGTTTCACATGAGACTCAGCCGCCTTTTAGAAAGTATTTTGCATTATGGGAATCTAATGATATTGACGTTTCTTTCAAGCCAGAAACCAACTGAGTATTAAGTTTCATGCGAATCCATCAGTAAATGTTCGTTATACCGATTTCCTGCTATTTTTTGCCGTTTTTTTAAGTCATTCAAAAATTCAATGAAAGATTCATTTTCCTAGGGCCGAAATATCTACAGATACAGAGTATGACATTTTAAAAGACCGAGTTGAAATAGATGTGCCGCCCTTAATGCCATTTATGAAAACAGAGCAACTATGATGAAAGCTGAGCATTTTAAATACAGCGAGGTGGTATGTTTACAGTCTGAGCCATTCGATTTACCTTTAAGCCTACCTAGAGGGTGAGTTGTGTAAAACCTTGATTATGAAGGCTAAAGAAACCATGCTGGTTTTTGAGTATTCAGTATTCTTAAAGGTATTTCAAAACTCACAAGCTACTTCATTTAAAAGATGTGAGACGGCAAGTGTCTGTAGGTACCTACTATTCATAGGATTCCTATTGTTAAATGTCTAATAAAAAAACCACAGGGACATACTTTAACAAATTCTGAAAAAAAAATATTTTGGACAAATTTTTGTTGACTTTGTAAACATTTTCAACACATCCCGGAGCAGTCATTTGCGGGAAACTTCCCAAATTGACTTGTAGTTGTATCCTACCTCGGTATTTAAAACTGATTATCAAAATTGGAACATAAAAATATGATTGGAATATTTATAGCATTTACAGGCTTGCAAAAATGTTCATACCCTGCAAAATGGGATCAATTAATAACAAGTGTTCCAATTACTGTTTGTCAGATAATGGAATAATTTATTTAGGAAAATTCCAAAACTTGCTGGTTGAGTCCATTCTACGTCGAAGCATTTAGACCACGGTATGAGTGCGAGGCCACAAGAGTAAAAAGTTGAGGTTATGGTACTAAGCACAACACGCGGTTGGGAGAAACAAAGCACGGAAACAAAACCTTAGACTGTTTGCGAATTAGGATTTTTTCGGTGAGACGATAGGTAGGCAACCGGGATTGCAAGTAGTATCGAGAGAAATCATCAGAGGCAAAAACGACTATTCACATTTCACACAGCACCGCTCACCGATAGCAGCGCGAGTAGCGGAAATCAGAAGAAACAGTTAACAAATAGTTCACTTGAAATGCCCTAGAGGAACTCATCACAGCCGCACCAGCAAACACTAACAACGCAATTGGAATAAAGTTCACTGACTTTCTTTCAAAATTGTCATAGAGTCTTTAAAAGTCAAATTAGAATTATATTCATCTGTATTTCAACAGATTTATATTCATTAGCTTTTTTCATATAATCATGCATGCAGCCTTCAAAGCCCTTATTTTTCTATGCAGAAGAACTTTTATTTCAATTAGTAATACTCAAGATCTACGAAAAATATCTGCAACCAGAATAAACCTGTTAGTAACAAACATTTCTTTTAATGTAGCAAGAATAATTTGATGTGCTCTTCCTTTTGTATTAAGATTCTATTCGAAGGAAATTGTTATAGAAATGATTATAATTAAACCATTAAACAAAATCATAGCCTTAAGATTTATCACCTTATTAATAGTAACTACAAGTTATTCATTAAAAATAATGATAATTATTAGTTTGAACAAAATATCTTTAAGTAAAAAAATAAAAAGAGAAATCTATAATCAAAAGATAAGAAAAGTACTTCTTCTTATCCCATCTGTAATTTTAGGGAGCAAGTTATCATGAGTTATAGAATTAAACAAAAATGTAATTTACTTATCCATTACAGAAAAATTAATTCCACCAATTGGTGCCACCAAAATTCCTGGACATTCCCTGACTTTTCAAGGTCGTTACAAATTCCCAGACAATTCCTGGTTTTCCAGATTTTTGGACATCCTGAATTAGTTATATGCGGGTTAGGGCTGTTGGTCCGTCCAGTTCCAATTTCAAGTATAAAGATCTTTAGGGACTTGTAGAAATGATATTCTGGTGGTGATTAATGACAATTTTCAATGAATTAAAGGCCTCGTTATTTTATGATCATCAGAAAACAGCTGACAGTGTGATTTTAAAGGCGTAAGTGCTCTCTTTAAATGACCTGTCTTCCTCGAATGTTGTGTCTGGCCCAAAGATCTTTGAGAATTTGTTGCTGGTGATGCTTGTTGCAAATGTTCAAAGAATTAATACAAAGACATTTTTTTCAAACTTTTCAGTCACATGAAAACAGCTCAGTGTAAATATTAGTGATTCGTTCAAGTTCTTGATTTTGTCTCATGTCCCCCCCCCCCAAATTTTAGCATATCCTTAGATCACTTGATGATCATAAGGAGACTATACGTATAATTTTTCATACCTAATCTGAATAAAATTAAACGGATAAATTTCTAGGTACACCTGTGCAATGTGCACTTAATGAGACCAACAGACAGATGGACATACATGTTTTTAAGTATGGTTATTTTGACTCCAAGCCCCTTAAAATTCCTAGAAATTATGATATTTTGACTTTTTCCTTGGATGACAATACTTCCTCTACCCGCAAAGCGATCGAGAAAGTAATTCTTCTTCATCTGTAAAATGCTGTCTTGGAGCTAAAATTAGGGACTAACCTTCTCTTTAAAATGAATGGAGCGCAATATTTTACCAGTTCCAGAATGATAAACATGAACATAACCTCCTATCAGCTCACTTGCAACACCTACAATGAGGAGTGGAGGAAAATTTGGGTCTCCATCTTTTTCCTGCAAAATGCGTCCCTCAGGAAGTTCTATGACACAAGTTACCTGAAAATAACAAAGGAAATTTACTTGAATAAAATGACTCATTTTTGATGACTAGAAAACTAATATTCACGTTTCATTCTTGTCTTTTTTTCTTTTTATTTTTTCTTTTTTTGTAACATCTGTATCCATTCACAATTTTTGTTTCAAAATAGCGTTCCCTAGAACACATTTGATGCTTCAAATCGAACAAATTTGTTTTAACGACATTTCTGGCTAAGGGTTTTTCCAGAGAGGAAGCCTCTCGTCCCTCCCAGGCTCCACTGTTGCCAGAATGCTGCCTTTTCAGCACTTTTCCCCATTCAAACTCATTTGAAACATTCTCATTAATTGCACGCTCAGGCGACGAATAACAAGTGGAATGAAAAAGTGGAATCCTTCGAAGTTTATATTAATGAGGATTATCATGACTGAAGCATGACTGAAATAACGAAAATTAGACAGGTGGTTGCGGAAGTGCTTAAAGCCTGCTGAATAATGGATGGTGGCTATGTGTATCAGCTCCCATTTTGGTTACTGCATAGATCTCCGAGTGCTTCCCCTTTTGAGAGAGCTTCTTCTAACCAAGAGTAGAGAACCTGGGTAGAAAGAGTAAGGACAGGTCAAAACATGGAGCACTTTTGGTCCAAAAGGGAGGCCAAGCTTCCTCCAAGAAATGTAGCTGCCAACCTTCACATTTCTAAGTCAACCTAGGAAAGCTAATAGTGTTTAGAAATAAGGATCCTCCACTAACTTGAGGAAAAAAGGGAAAAAAAGTCTACTGCGGAGTTTAATGATCTTTGAAATAACAAGTGGTAATAATTGTAATGACGAGTACTTGTGGAAAGTTTAAGGTGCACAGGTTGGCTGCTGTTTTGGGCCCGAAAAGCTCCATGACCTGATCAAACCTATTCCAAAAATTACCAACATGTCTATACTTTTCTTCTTCCGCTACTCTAACCATAATGATAAACCCTGAATGCAGCTATTTCCAAAAAGAATAATGCAGGATATTTTTTCAGTGTTGTACAGGTCCGACTGTACTGTACAACATAATAGCAATGAAAGGGAATGAAGTGAACAACAAATAATGAACACACGGATACGTCAAACATGTCATGCTGTGGGCCTAAGCAAAGAACAGGATAAAACACTGAAAAAATGACAAACTCAAAAAATAAAGGGACCCCGCAAATCGGCCGGAGTGGGGCGCATTAATGAAAAAATCTAGTTGGCCCCTGAAAAAGGGGACCAACTCACAAAACTATACTCACATTTTTGAGGCGATACGAGAAATTCCCGACGGGCCGGAAAAAGAAAAACTCGGACTATTAGCACGTCTGAGACTCAAATGGGGAATGGGGTCTTCGCAGGAACACACAGGAATCTGTCTGCGCACGCGCAGACGCCCAGAACCCAACGGCGGGAAAATTTGAAATGTGCGGGTGAGTGGGGGGAGAAGGAGAGGGGACCCACTGTACAGTGTGTTACCCACAATTTGCACGAAATGACCACAATTTTTATTCTTTATTTTTGTCATAAAACAGAGTCAAAATCGAACAATCGTATTCTCCCAGCTACATTTCAGCCTGTTCCAACTGGGGCAATCCAAGCTCAACACCCCTGGACTTAAAAAATGACGCTGAAAGTATAAAGGCACATGAAACAAAACACCAAAGGGTAGGGTGTTTCTTACTTTTTAAATTTTCGAATTCGAAGAAGGTCCTGCTCTTAAAAGTTGATGTGTGTATAGATTAGAAGCCTCGTGTAAAGCAAAAACTTAGAACCAAAATTTAATTTTTTACCCGGTGCTCAAATGACTTAAGTGACGCAGGTTGAAATTTGAGGTTTCTAGATAAAATAACATTAGTCCTCCGTGGTATACGCCACGTTACGGCCCTAATCGACGAAAATTTCGTCCGTTTGGTCGTACCGGGGATACAAAAGCCGCAAGACACCAGAAAATGGCGCGCGAAACGAGAGACACGAGGAACAAAACGGGTGATCTGTAGCGCAACGCGCGCGTACTCTTCAGAGCTTAAGCGACACGCCGCACGGTGGATCGAGTCAATGATAGAGGTCGGTCATGGGTGACGAAAAAATTAGTCAAATTTTAAATATTTTTTCTTGGTTTTCTAGTAGTTAAGCTTCCAAAATGAATGTATCCATGGCTCAAGGGTCTTTGAACCCTTCCACTTTGACATGCGGGTTGCCTAAAGCTGACATTGCAGGTAGTATCAAATTTACAGTTTGATAAGGTTATATTTCGCTTTTGCACAAGTTCTGTGGCAGATAAATCAAAATTTCCATTAAACATGCTTATTCTCCTTCCTTTAAGAAACATTTTCGTATATCATTAATGTGCATTGGCATATTTCTAGGAGGACCAAAACCACCTCCAAAACTTGCGTTAAAAAAACGCCCCAAAAAATGTTATGATAGCTCGATAAAATAATGTCCACAAGATTCCGCATAATCCGTTGTTGGATTGCTTTTTGTACACTATCAGGAATGATATTATGTAATAATTAGCCGCTAATATCCGCTAATCTGCAAAAACGGTCCATTTGAATGATTGGAAGTCACACCTGCTGGGAATCCGATCTTGCTCTGATGTCATCAATAAAATTGTGCATTACACGATATCCTTCAATCTCGGTGATTTTTCTACTGATTCCTGATTTTGGCTGATTTTTCGATATTTTGACGAGACATTAACCTCCTGTTAGTCTACGACGCTAATTCGATCAGTGTTATACTGTGCGATAAAGTTTAAGGTGTATGTTTTGCGCATTTTATTTCACATGTCCCGTTTCTTGCAAAATGTCTTCGACATACCTAGAACTCATCCATGAGCTCCATAAAAATAAAACATCGGTTGTGAGTTTAAAAAGAAGAAATATAAGACATTTCTTCGAGAGACATTGGTCCTTCTCAGAGGTTCTTCAAGGGATCAGAACTTGCATGAAAATAAAATTTCCTCCTATTTTAATATTTTTTCAATAAAAATGTTTCAAACTTCACTCCAAACTTCGAGGAACGAAACGAAATAATGGAAGATGATAAACATGGTTTTTTTACTGCATTCCATTTTTTATATCTTGTGGTAAGTACCTATAATAATTTTCCAGGATTACTCGATAAAAAGAGGCTACAGAATATACATCTCTTTTTTTTATTTATCATTAATATAAACTTCGAAGGATTCTGCCTTTTTCTATTTCACTCGAGGGGAAGTGTCCCCTCCCGGACTCTCTTCCCCACCCGGTGACTGACGCTGCGCTGTGCTGAACGGTTCAGCCTGAACCTTTCCCCACTCCTCTGTCAATCGAACCATGTGCCACCGCTCACATATTGTCGCTCGCCCACCCAGGTACCTAGCGGCCAGCGGTCAGTTGATGATAAATCTCGCTCATGCTCCTATGCAGCTACGCATTGATTACGCCAGCTAATTACTTTCTAATAATTAGAATTTCTTCGATAATAGTTTTCTTTATTTATTCGACTGTATTTTTTTCTCTGTTCTACTGTGATTTCCTTGGTTCTCTACTGTGTTTTTCCTAAATCTCTGAGTCAGAAATCTGAAGCACTTCGGTATGCACCGAGTACTTCAGATGTGTGACCTGAAATCTTCGGTATATACCGAACTAATTCAATTGTCTGACCCGAACTTCGGCAGATGGACCTTAACTTTTCGGATGCGTGATCCGAAAACTTCAGAGATCCATTTAATCTCAGCTTCGGGTTCCATGCACAAATATTTTTCTCCGTGTTTCCTTTTAGGGGACGCAACTAAAATTTCAGTAAATTTTTTTCAGAAAAGTAAAGAAAAAAAAAAAAAGTGGCTAACGATGGTTCCTCACCTTCACGTGGTGTTGACTGTTTTTACTAAGTGGGAACCGTCCATTTTAAGATATAGTCTATTTCTTGCCCTGCCATTATTATTCTACAAGTTAATTGTGGAGTGAGAATTTCATAATGTTTTCTATGAAATCTTCAAAGTATAGTGATAAAAAATTTGCAACTACTACAAAATCGGCTCGCGAAACGAGCCGAATGTCACTCGCGTAGCGAGTGACCGGGGGTCCAGGGGGCGTAGCCCCCGGCTAGGCGTGACGGGCGCGCGAAGCGCGCCCAGAACGGCTAGTATTTAATATATTGATCTATTTTTTGAAACATGCATATTTGTTGAATAACTAAAAGAGTAGAGATTTCATAAAAATGAAAACATCTATTGACTGGCTGGAGGAAAAGAGAAGAAAAAATAACATTATCAGGATGTTCCGTATATGTGTCAGAGTGCAATTGCGAGAAACCAATTAACATAAACAAAAAACGATATTAGCAGAAATTGAAAGAAATATTGCAACCTTCGTGGTGAGGGGCCTGTGAAGCCGCCCTCCCTTGCTCCTCAAGTGATGTCTTTGAGTCAAGTTCTGCAAAACTCTTCTTTATGTAAGACGCTTACGGTCCCATTCGCCGAGAGTAACGTGAAAAATAAGCTATCAAGGATCCCACTTTTAATAGACATGGAAAAGTGTGTAAAATCGCATTAAAACTCGTTTTGCGGCTGAAATATGATCAAGAATGGAATCTACGACGAAAAATACTCAAGGATAAGGTAATTTGCTCTATTCTAAGGACGGAAATCTCTGTAATCAGAGAAAATAAGACGCGTGATGCGCGATGACCGACTCCTCCAATTGACTCGATCAACCTTGCATCGCACGCATGCACCAAGCTTACGCGGGCCCGAAAGTTCCCGTCTGTAGCAATGCATCATTAAGAATTGACCTGGATAAAGTATAACGTTAAAAAAACAGTTGAAATGTATGAATACATAAAAAGAAAAATTATCTTAGTGAAATATTGGATATTCTCATGTATAATAGGGCCCTTGAAAGATGATCCCTGAGCCGCGGGTATTTCTTGCAAACGCTGGCAGCAGCAACCTGGCCCAGACTGAGTCTGGAGTTCGCGCAACGATGCCGAGCCGAGCCACAATCGAACCCTAATTGCTCTCG